GCTGTTGTCTCTCTTCTTGTTTACTTTCTCGTTCTTCTTGTTTCTTTTGCTGTTCTTGCATTGCTGCCATCAAATCTGCTAAGCTGTAGTTTTATTTGCTGCTTCTCGTTTCCATCTTCTCTTTTTCTTTTTTTATCCCACTTTCTGACACCAATTTGTTACGTCTCCGTTCGTTAGTTAATTTTCTGTAAATTCGTTCCGACGAAACTTTAGCAACACAAGTCCTTTCTTAAATAAAATTGGTTTATTCTTTCCGAGTACAACCAAGGTCACGTGACTAATATCACGCCACGTCGTTCTCGAACATTCAAGTTGTTTCCTTAAATCTCCGGATCCATCTAGAATAGTGTGGTCTTATATATATAAAACCGGCTAAGAGCGACGGGGAGAAGATGTGTGTGTGTAATTGAACTGAGTATTGTCGAGCACGAGCACGTGAGACGTTCTTTGAGAGTTATAGCATTGTTATAGAGAGATTGTTGAAATTATGTGTATCGGAAAAGCTGACGCAACAATATTAAACATTAGGCCTATAACATTTACGTTACTTGACTTCACACAACTATATTCTCTTTGCTTTTTTCTGCCTAATACTGTCTGTCTGCTGATTCCCGCTCATCTCACACTATTTATATCTTTATTACATAGTCGTCTGGCCACTTTCTATATTCTCGACACCAATTAGTTTTTAACAAAACTTTCTACAATCATCTGCTTTTAACTCTTATTAGTACAAAACTTAAAAATAATAAAGTATTCACTCAAAAATATGAATTAATCATTAATAATTAAACCAAACAGTCTTTCATATCCTGACAGTAGCACTGCTAAATGAGAAGTGATATGTCAGTAGAATCAAATAGAGGGAGTCGCATGTGACAGAAGGGTGTGTTGCAGGATGATTTACATATGAGATACAGATGAACCATGTTAAATATGGGGTATTTGGGAGCTGCAGTGGCTACTATTGAAATGGGTACTGGTAAACTATATGTATTATGGAAAGAATGCAGGACAGAACATTAAAGCATTACAAAGGAATTTTCCACAGTGGAAACTCGTCTGCTGTAAAGCTGAAGTGAAGAAGTACAGCTATCAGACAAACAGAGCATCACCATTCATGGAATGAAACAATGAGGTGGGGCTCTTGAATATATTTAATATAAAATACTAATATATACTGTAAATATTATGGCTGACACAAC